GGGTAGTGTGAAAAAGGAAGATAAAATTGTGATTTAAAATTAAAATTTAAGGGTGAAGAGATAAGATTTTTGAACGGATGACTATACTTGGCTAAGATGGACGGTTAAAAATCAGGGGTAGAAATGGATTACAGCTCACACGTACTTTTACCATAGAAGAAATGCTTCCAGCTGACTACTGCTGTAACATCAAGAACAACATTGAATTATCACCAGGCCAACGATTATTGTGAAGCGAATATCAAATCAAGAGTATGCGATAGGCTAGTAATGCAACAACAAAATCATGTACAAAGAAAATTAAAATAAGAACTAAGAAAAATAAAAATGTCAAAAATACTGACTTATTTCAAATGCAAATAAATTAAAACGAATAAGGATCACTTAGTGTGATTGAAGTAATGTTAGGGTTTTGTTGTTGGAAACAATACTTTAAATGTTGCCCATTAACTTTGAATGTGCTTTCATCCACCAAGTTCTTTAGTAACATAGCGCCATGAGGAAAAATTTCAAGTTCTTTAAAAATACTTGACTAATGAGATCGCAACTTTCTTGAAAACAACTTCAATCGAGAATTGAAGAGAACAACATGCTGTCAAACGATAAATTTCCTTGACAAAATGTGTTGATCATGCTACTTTTTTACTTTTATCTTTGTAAATTTGTGAACTCTCATAGGCATTATTTCAGATCTCCCCCAACTCATTAAGCTCAAACATTTGTTTCTCTCCTATAGCATCTAAGTAAAAATTTAACTTCTTCAATGTCCACATAGCCTTATTCTCCAGCTTGACAAGTAGATGACCACATTTGCCATAAACAAGGCGATAAGGGGACATCCCCAATGGAGTTTTTTAAGAATACCTATAAGCACATAGTGCTTTATCCAGGCGTTGTGACCAGTCTTTTCTATAGGGATTTACAACCTTCTCATGGATTTGTTTAATTTCCCGATTGAACACTTTGGCTTGGCCATTGGTATGTGGATCTTATGCTATAGCAATTCAATGTTTTACATTATAATGGTTCAATGCTCTAGCAACATGTGATCCAATAAACTGAGATACGTCATCATTGATAAATGCTCGGGGTGTTCCAAAACAAGTGAAGATATTTTGTGTAGAAATTTTAGCACCGCTTTAGCATTGCTAGTTGGCAAAGCTATAACTTGAACCCATTTGGATACATAATCAACAACAACTAAAATAAAAGGTTTCACAAAAATGGATAAGGTCCCATAAAATCTAATCCCAAACATCGAAAAGTTCAATCTCCAAAATAGGTTGAATTGGCATCTTATTTCTTCGAGAAATATTTTCCATTCCCTGGTAGCGATCACATTATTTAACGTACTCATTTGCATATTTGAATAGCGATGGCTAGTATTAACCAAACTAAAGAACTTTCACTGTTTTATGTATACACCTAAATGGCCTCTATAAGTAGTGTTGTGGCAATTCTGTAAAATGCTTTGCTACTCACACTCTAGAATACATTACCGTAGAACTTGATCATTGCCTTCTTTGAATAAATATGGATCTTCCCAATGGTATTATCTTACATCCCGCACGATTTTTTCTACCTCAAAGTTAAGATTGGGTGGCATCATTCCAATAACTAAATATTTAGCAAAATTAGCATACCAAGGTAATGTTGTAGCAATGAGTAATTGTTCATCAGGAAAATCATCTGGAATTACTAGAATGTATCCATATTTGATACAAGATTCTAATATAGATAAATGATCAGTCACTTGATTCTCAGATCTTTTTTTATCCTGAATCTCAATATAAAATTCTTTAAGTAAAAGCACCCATCGAATCAACCTAAGCTTTGTATCCTTCTTGGCGAATATAAGCAATTCATTTTCAGCTGTGGTGTAGTTTATTTGAGCATCATTTAATGCTCTGCTTGCACAATGGATAGCGTAGAACACTTGTTCCTTGTTGTCCAGCACTGCACCAACAACAAAGTCACTAGCGTCATACATTAGCTCAAAAGGTAAACTCCAATATGGTGCTACTATGATAGGAGTATTTACTAACTTCACTTTAATTGTTTCAAAGGACTTAAACACTTCTTCATCAATGACAAACTTTCTGTTTTTCTCCAGCAATAAACACAATGGCATATCAATTTGAGAAAAATCCTTGATAGATCTTCTATAAAAACTAAATGACCTAGAAAGCTTCGATATGCTTTCACACTAGTAGCAGGTGATAGTTTCTCAATGACTTCTACTTTTTCCTTATCCACCTCAATGTCGTGGTAAAAAATATGGTACCTGAGCATTATACTTTAAGTAACCATGGAATGACATTTTTCCCAATTCAAAACCAAATTGGTTTCCTTACATTTTCTCAACATTGCAGCGAAATTATTTAGACGATGCTCAAAATATTGCCAAAACATAGAAAAATCATCCATAAATACCTTTAGATAATCTTCAATCATATTGGAAAATATAGCCATCATACGATGATGGAATGTTGTTGGAGCATTGCATAACCCAAATGGTATTCTACGAAAAGCAAAAGTACCATACGAACATGTGAAAATAGTTTTCTCCTGGTCTTCTTGTGCTATAACAATCTAAATATAACCACTATATCCATCCAAAAAGCAATAAAAAGCTTTGTCGGCAAGACGATCCAACATTTGATCTATGAATGGTAATGGAAACTGATATTTTCTCATTGCTTTATTGAGCTTTCTATAGTCCATGCATATCCTCTACCCCGTAGTGGTTCTTGTCAGCACTAATTACTGTCCAAAATTGGATATATAAAAACATCCAACCATTTTATAATATCCTTTCTAACCACTTCTTTCATGATTACATTTAACCTTCTTTGATGTTTAATTGAACTACTATTAGGGTTTTCCAAAAGAATCTTGTACATAAAAATGCTAGACTAATGCCCTTTATATCGACGATGCTCCAGGCGATATCTCTCTTATGCTGCTTCATCACATCGATCAACTTAGCATCCTATGAGGCTATAAGTTATGTTGGCACAATAACTGGCAGTGTATCATTCTTTCCAAGGTACAAATACTTTAGATGCCTCGGTAGAGGTTTGAAATTGAGAACATATGGTTCTTCAATGGATGCCTTTGGATCTTGGATAATATGGTTAGGCATTTCTAGAGGTTCAATATGTTGCATATAATTACCACAACATGCACCTTTTTCATCTTCAAATAATTCTTTAATTACCACCACATCACTAGTAGTAACATCTGTGCTATAACACTCTTCCCAGTGTTACTGCGTAAAGATATCAATCACATCAAGTGAGAAGCATTCAACACTATCATTCATATAAAAAACATCATTCAAAACATTAAAAGCTATATGATCATCATTTAAATGCATGATGAGTTCCCCATTTTCAACATCAATTAAGGCTCATCCAATAGCAAGGAATGGATAACCAAGAATGATAGGAACATCTTTATCAGCTTCATAATATAGAATGATAAAGTCTATAGGAAAAATGAACTTGTCTACATTCACAAGCATGTTTTCTATAATTCCATTAGGATGCACGGTAGAACGATCATCAAGTTGTAATGTAATCATAGTGGGAGCTGCTTCGTCGCTCCCAAATTTCTTAAAAATTGACAATGTCATAAAGATTAATGCTAACACCCAAGTCACATAGAGCTTTCCATACAAATTTATCACCAATATTGCAAGGAATAGTAAAACTCCTTGGATCTTTAAGCTTTGTTGGCAATTGACTTTTAACCATAGCACTACATCCTTCGGTAGGAGCGACAATTTCAAATTCTCCAAGTATCATCTTCTTCGAAAGAAATTTTCTCATAAGTTTAATGTAGTTTGGGTTTTGCTCTAATGCATCAATCCACATAATGTTAATTGTGAGTTGGCAAAGCACATCAATGAAAGCTTTATATTGTCGATTTTCATTTGTCTTTTTTAAGCTTTGAGGAAATAGTGAAAGCATCATTGGTTGTTGATGTTGCGACATTGAAGTTGACGAAGTGTCTGATTTTAAAAGTATAACTATCGATAATGAGTCTAAATTATTGCAATGTCTTACAACTTTTGTTGTGGTATGATCCACAAGTGGCTCTAACTCATCTTCTTTTATTTTTCCCTTGCTATGCTTAGTAACCTCCTCATCTTTCTTCATAGGCTCTTCAACTGTCACACTAATATGAATTTCGCTCCCTGTAGTAATAGCCTTTCAATGCTCTTTGCCTTGCTGCTAAGTACTTTTAGTATCGTTAGGCAGTGTTCCTTACAAACGATTATTTAGGGCATTAGCCATTTGGCCTATTTGATTCTCTAAAGCCCTCAATAATGCTGATTGACTCTCCATGTGCTCTTTCATCAAGGCTTCAAGAGATGATAGAGTGGAAGTTTGTGTTGAAGATTATCCTTGATGACTTTGTATTTGTTACGACTCTGTAACTTGATGTTGTGCCTGTAGATGCGTCATTGATTATTGCAGATTGTAATGTTATGGATGATAATACTACTGCTATGGATTAGCAATGTTCTAAATTCTCCAAGAAAGATTTGGATGATTCTAAAAGATAGCATTGTATGTGTTACCAAAAGTATTGTAATTTCTTTGATAATTTCGTACATAGAAAACAAACTCAGGATTTTCAGGGCATTCATCAAAGTTGTGATTTTCTCGACGATAAACAAAAGTAATGACAAATACAACCTTGACCTATTATTTTCCCCTGGTTTTTGTAACTTCTTCACCATATCCATCAATGCTGAAATTTGAGATGCCATATATTTAAAAGCTTCAAAATCTACTGTTGTAGTATTACGTCGGCCAAACATATTCCTCGTATTAGGATATTGGCAATAAGTAATTGATATAGTCTCCATAATATCATAGGCTTCATCATATGTTTTATCTAACAAAGCTCTGTTTGTTGAAGCATTGAATGTCATACGAGTGTGTATGTTTAACCCATTGTAAAACATCTCCATTTGAGTTCAATGTGGAAACCCATGCATCGGACACTTCCGCAACATATCCTTTAATCTTTCCCATGCTTCATACAAACTTTCATATTCCAATTGCTTGAATGAAGTAAGATCATTTTGATGCTTAACATTTATATTAGGCAGGTTAAATCGTAACAAGAATTTATATGCCAGCTCATTCCAGGATGATATATTGCCAAGAGATAATGAATTCAACTATGCTATAGATTTATCATGTAACGAATAAGGGAATAACTTCAGCTCAGTGCTTCCTTAGGAGTACCTTGTTAAACAAACGAATCACAGACCTCCATAAATGCTCGCAAATGGGATCGAGGATCTTCGGCAGCAGACCCTACATATTATCCTATAGACTATAGCATTTAGAACATGACTAACTTCAACTCAAACTTTATAGTATTAATCACCTGACTCACTACGCCCGTATATAGATCAATAAGCGTTGACACTACATGTTCTGAGATGAGTCTTTTATGATCATCCATATTATAAAATGGTTGTCCTGCTCCATTTCCAGCAGATAACTCAATATCTTCACCATTCTTCTGTGGTGTTAGAACATCATTCCCTTGTCTAGCCATAGATGCTTGGTTCCTTGCAACTTCTTGATGATGTCTTCTAAAAGTTCTCTATATCTCTGGATCAAATGGCTTTAATTCATCATTGCTATGGGGCATAAACTACTAGAACTTAAAACTAAGAAATACCTAAAAAATGAAATAGTAAAATAAGCAAGTTAATTAAAAAGACTCTAAGTAAAACCGATGTTCCCCGACAACGGCGCCAAAAACTTGATGCTTGCTAAATACTATAGAGAAAGTGCAAGTGTACACTAAGGCCCAAGTAGTAAGTGGTATCTCAAAGAGCTACGAGTATCGTATCCACATGGATCAATGTGTTTGTATTTGTGAATCTATGTTAGTAAAAATTATGGGTGTTCAAATATGCAGATCAAATGAGATGAAAATCAAAGTTTAAAAATCCAGGTCATGCGACAACACTGTAGAGAGCATCAAATAACAATCCAATCACATGAGATGATAAATTACATTTTTTACTTTAATTAAACCAAGAAAACTACTTCTATGTGATTATCGATGATTGAAACCCTTTGAGCTACGTAATTAACTTTCATTAACTAAGTAGTTCAAAGTATTAACAATACTAAACAATTGGTTGTATATTCCTCAATGTATACACTGCCACTAAACAATACCAATGCTATCAAAAGTACACAATAATTCAATCAACTTTGTTTCTAGAAAATAATTTAAATACCATACATTTAATTACTATTATTTCTATTTGAAATCATGAATCAAAACATCACACAAAAGAAGTATCATAGAAAAGTGTAAAGTAATCAGCACAAAATAACATCCATAGAGTTTAAAGAACATTCGAAGTCATTCTCTATCTTAAACAGTAAACTTCAAATGATGATTCATTGATTGCTGATACTACCCAGCGAGCTCTACTAATGCTTCAACATTCTCTGGGTAGGGGCTTAAGCTACCATGGCGTATGACTAAATAAAGTGAAGAATAGTACTTTCGAATAGTTCAGAAAAATTTCTCTTCTTCAGCTCACAAGGTACCTCAATTTATAGGTTTGAGGGAATTTCCATCTTCTAATTATGTCTTAACATTTTAGGTGTTTTCCAACAAAATGACAGCTTCCCGAGCCAGTTGTCTCATCCAGAAGGTTCTCCTAACCATCTGATGACTCATTAGTTGCTGCAGTATCTACTCAACATCTCTTGCAGCTTCAACCAATGCTACAACATCAATGTAATAGTTTTTCAGCATAAAAATTCCAAATTAGCCTTAGACAACCCACTCAACTCTCAATATGCAAAATATGTAAAAATTAAACGAATATGATCCTAAAATGCTCCTAAAAATACTCAAGTTCAAACTAAACTTAGGTGTAAAGGATCTTAATGATAACTCTTTTTATAGAGTTATCACACCCCCAAACCTATATGTTTGCTTGCCCTCAAGAAAAAAAATGCATAAAATGTACTAGCCAACTGTAATGCCATAAAATAACTTCATGAAGCAAGTTTCTATTTTTTCTCAACACTCAGCCAATGTTGCATATCATGGTTATATTATTCAATTAGGGAATACAATTTAATGCAATCAAAATAAGGATCCTCAGAGTGTAGTGTGTGTACTTTAGGTGTATCTAATCAATATTTAGCTAATTTAGAAAAATTGCACCTACTTTGTTAAAGATGTTCAATGCTACAATAATATTTCTCTACCAATGTTTGATTTCCAACTTATTTCTCAAACTATGTTGGAGCTATTACCAGCATTACCCAACTTATTTCCTAAAACTATGTTAGAGTTATTACCAGGATTACCCAACTTATTTCCTACTTATCTCTCACTTTTTTTAGCACAAAATAAAATTGCTATAACATCTAATAAAGATAAGAAGTTTACAGCTTAAAAATTTCTAAATTATCTAAGTACTGAAGATATATACTTAAAGTGTGAAAATTATTCTTAAAGATCTTAACTTCAATAGGAGTCTATAGTATCCCATGGCATTTCATACTAAAATAGTTCCCATCATCGGGCATCACTAAAATTCTCTTAAAACTTCATTGATTTCTACAAAATTAATAAATGACATTACAAATACAACTCCTATATGCAAAGTTACTCTCCTAAATGCAATAATTAAATCATAACTAACAACACACCTTAACAACTAGGGATGCATTATCCCTAATGCATGCAAAAAACATCAACACAAAATAACAACAACTAAAACATGAGAAAAGAATGTAGAAGCTCCCTAGGTTGGTTTTGCTTGGACTTTTTCTTTGGCTGAGAATGTTGGGACGAAGATGTTTCACTTTCATTTTAGTCTTCACTGAACTTTTTCGCACGTTGACGTGGCTTTTTCCGTAGTAGCATCAAAGACTAGAGTGTTAGATGTTGTAGCGTCCAGCTTGGCCTTCATTATAAATGCATAGGTCGTCACTTTCACTTATTCTTCTTCTCTCTTAGTACCGACATCCAATGTAATAAGAATGTTCTCAATTGTACTCACAACAGTGTTTTGGTAGACAACTGCAATGTCATTGCTTATAACTTTGGTGGCAACCAATTCAGGTTCTTCAGCAGCTGCAGAGTCCTTCACATCTTTGGCCTCATTAAAGTCTAACACGTGTTTAACAGCTTGCTTCGCTAGATCATCCTCTTCCTCACTAGCTTTCTCTTTCTACTGTTGGCTGCTCAAATCCTCTTCTTCCTCAATAATGTCAGCCTCTTTAGATTCCACGACAAGAACTTTAGTGGATTTTTCTAACTCAACTTAATTTGGCATCGATATTTTGGATGGTATCAATACCTAGTATAGAGTATCGGTACTTGGTTTAGGAGTATCGATACTGCCCTTCCTTATCAGTTCATAATACCCAATTAGTATCGATACCCAGAGGTCAATACTAATACTAAAGGGATTAGTATCGATACCCATAAATATGTTTGGATAAAAATCTATTAGGTTAAGGGATAGGTTCGAGGTGCCCATAATATCATATTACCATGGAATAAGACTACAAGTGAAAAATAAATAAACATAGAACAACTAGAAATAGTAAAAGTTGGGATAACACATAACTAACCTTGTTTGATGCTCAGAAAACATCCACTACACCGAGTTTCTTTAGCAGAATACGATAGCCTTGTTGGGACCGTCGGCGCACCCCATGGCACAGCGGAAACAAAACTCGACGGTCTCACCAGCGATCCAAGTACGAAAAACCGAAATTGGGAGTAAGAGATGCGAATACTTACTGTGGGTTCCTTGAAAACAAAAAGAACAACAGTGAATACGCTGGTGTAGTTCGATTTGAATCGAAAGCCTCCACGAAATCACGTCTCGGCCTCTACTAAGTTCACCCGATTGAGAGCAATATTTCTTTTCCCCAAAACTATTTTGAGAGAAAATGGCTGAAGGGTTTGTGTGTTTGTTGCAAAAACGGTTGCTAGACCTAACACACCCTTTTATAGCCAAGTTACCTTAATCATATTAGGGTTTTATTATTTCAAATTAATTAAATCTATATTTAATTAATTGGAATTTAATAATCCTCTTATATCCAAGTTACCCTAATCATATTGAGGATTTTATTATTTCAAATTAATTAAATCTATATTTAATTAATTAATTGAAATTAAATATTCGGGATTATTAAAACATATATTTTAGTAACGTACAACAAATTGTACATCTTTGCTCGTTTTAATCCTAGGGTGTGACCTTGTAGGTTCTTGTAACGTTAGCAGTAATTATTAGAACAATTCTAATATTACATACATTGAGTGACATCTAGCAATATATCATTGTCACCTAAGTTACAAGAAAATATGATTCGACATATCATCTTGGTGATTACTCTTTTATGTATTATATCCTTATGTCCTTTATATCTATAACAGGCACAAGTCTTGGAATAGTCACACTTGTATAGCACATCTATTGTTTCTTGATATCTAGAGTAGACTTTAATTAACGAATAGTTTGTGATATCTCATATCAACTTATTTGAGCATGGCCATGCATTTCTAGTCTTACTCAATCAAGTGGCCTGTGATACATTTCCTATTATGTAGGAAGGACAAATCATATCTTAATCATACACACCCATTACATATATTGAGATATATTTAATAATAGTCTTTATAGAACAACCAGTTACGGAGCTTGTTTAGCTGCATCAAAACATACAACAATATATGTTGGGATAGTATTGATCTCAAGTCTGAGGATCATACATATAGTCATCACCATGAGCAATGTTATGATTGTCACATAATAATCCAAGACATATGCAAATGGTCGGTCAATCCAATACATTGTTCTCTAACAATATAATCAAGTATCAATTCTGACATCTCTATGTCAATGACAACTCATTGTCATCAATCAATAACATGTTAGTGTTAAGCGTATTATTATTTTCCATGCCCATAATAATACTTGACTAGGGATCTTTTAATAATAACAATTATGTCATTATATGGACTTTATTATCTTCCAGTTTATGTTAGACACATATATATAGATGAAAATAATAGCG